GCTCCCACAATGAAGCCGGAGAGATAAATTTAAGAACTAGCCCATTTGTCTATCCTGCGTCCTCCTCTCCTTTACAGATGCCTCCTCAGAGTGTTCCCTTCTCGAACTGATTACACAAAAATCCCTGTCTCAGCTTTTCTAGGAAATATGTCCTAAAATGGTTGGAAACACTCTAAGAATGAGATTGTTACGGAACCAAACTTGTGTCGGCTCAGCCTCGTGCAGTACATCCAATCTACTGATGCTGAGTCATGGTGAAGGAGTTTATTACAGACTCCGAGCAAGAAGTCCAGGCAGCTAGTGCTCAGAAGGTTCAAACTCCAGACATGGCTTTCAGGGAAAGGTTTTAAAGACAGGGTGAGGGATGGGAGTCGTGGAGTGTGTGTTCAGCTCATGAACATTGTGGGGAACTAAGATCCCACATGCCGAGCCGGACACCCATCACTTCACAAAATTACCTTTTGTGTATGTGTGTATCTGTTGAGAACACTTAAGGTCTACATTTAACAATTTCAGGTATACAATAGGGTATTATTAACTACAGTTGTCATGCTGTACATTAGATCTCCCCAACTTATTCATCTTATAATTAAAACTTTGTATCCTTGTAACAACCTCTTCCCATTACTCCCACCCTCCCCCCACCAACAAATGGGTTTATTGACTGCTGCCTGGGCCCTGGTTCAGTGATGAATTTGGACTTGAGCTCCTTGCCAGTGGGAAATGGTATACTGCTAACTCCTGACATGCAGCAGCACCTGATCAAGCCGCCTATCACGTGGTTGATTATGATGAAGTGCCGACAGAAGCAGGTGCCCTGGGAAACCACGTGGTTGCTGCACTTGACTGTTGCAGCAGTAGAGGTGACCACAAGGACTGTGACATGGGAAGGACTCCCCTGGGTGCGCCTGTTTGTTTGAAGAAAGAAAATGACAAGATCAGGCCTTTAAACTTTCAGCCTAAGTCATGCCCAGAGATCCAGGGATATTTTCTGTCAGCCATAAAATGATCATATAGCTGCAAGGTTGACAACGCTGAAAATCAAACCCATAACTGAATGATGTATATTGCGGGATGACAGTGTAGGTTGAGTTCACAGCCTCGAGAGATCTTTTCTGTGAAAGACATGGCATTGATTACGAAGGAGTGGAGCCAAAGCCTGGGGAAGTTTAGGTTGTCTTGGACCAAGTTGAGATCTTGAACCCCTGAGTCACTTGGAGTCTCCCTTGCCAGTGAAAGCAGACTATTCTCTGATATCTGGGGAGAGTAGCCTTCCTGTGTTTGAATATCCCATAATAATTGCACCTGGAGCAAGGGGAGGAGAGTTCTCCCCAAAGCCCACACCAGCCAGCCTTGCTACCCTCTAACACTGGTTGTCCCATAACTACAGTTAGATCAGCACACTGCAGGAGCAAGTACAAAGGCTGGCCTGGGAGGAACTCATTCATATGCCAAAAGAATTATGCCAGCAGAAAACTAGGGAATGTGTATGGGAATGGATCTGAGGATGTTAGAATAAAGAGGATGGGATGTGATTTTTGGATCTAGTGAAGTTATTACTCTGGGCACACTTCCCAGCAAGCCTGTGTTTACTTCTTAATTTTATTTAGCAGACAGATCTTTTATTAAATGGCAGAGGATAATACACTCCTGAAACGTGGGAGCAGGCTGACTGCAAAGGAGTGGCTAAAACCTGTGTTTAAATGTTATTCATGCAGCTGAATGTTTCTTGGTTGGTTGGCTAAGCACTGAACTCAGTGGTGGCCTATGTTTAAGGGGATTAAGATTCAAGCATGTCCCTGGCATCTTGTAAAGAAATGAACTCAGACTCTGCAAGATAGAAATGCTGCAGTGAGTCTGTCATATTTGATGAGCACACCCACCGCCCCACTGAGAGTGCTCCGAGGACACTCCCTTTCATAAGGCAGGGAGAGACGTCAGTGAGGGAAACACTGGCAGCTGGATTGCTCTGTGGTCACTGTTCTCTGCAGGCCACAAATGATGGTGGGAGATGCTGCACTGAGATGAAATTCCTGATTGGAGAAGGGATGACGGGACCCCAGGTGCCTGGAAAAGTAGGAGAAGCCCAGAGCTGGAGGATCAGAAGAGTCTCGTTCATGGTTTTTAAAAGGAAAAGAGAACTATGTGCATATATACTATATATATAGTCGCTTCAGTTATGTGATGCTATGGACCACCATGGGATTCTCCAGGCAAGAATACTGGAGTGGGTTGCCATTCCTGTTTCCAGGGGATCTTCCCAACCTAGGGATTGAATCTGCATTTCCTGTAGCTTCTGCATTGCAGGCAGATTCTTTACTACTGAGTCGCTGGGGAAGCCCATGAGATATATCAATTCAGTTCAGCTGCTCAGTCGTGTCCAACACTTTGCGACCCCATGGACTGCAGCACACCAGGCTTCCTTATCCATCATCATCTCCCGGAGCTTGCTCAAACTCATGTCCATCAAGTTGGTGATGCCATCCAACGATCTCATCCTCTGTCGTCCCCTTCTCCTCCTGTCTTCAGTCTTACCTAGCATCAGGGTCTTTTCCAATGAGTTAGTTCTTTGTATCAGGTGGCCAAAGTATTGGAGCTTCAGCTTCAGCATCAGTCCTTCCAATTAATATTCAGGATTGATTTCCTTTAGGATGGACTGGTTTGATCTCCTTGCAGTCCAAGGGACTCTCAAGAGTCTTCTCCAACACCACAGTTCAAAAGCATCAGTTCTTCAGTGCTCAGCTTTCTTTATGATCCAACTCTCACATCCATAAATGACTACTGGAAAAACCATAGCTTTGACTAGATGGACCTTTGACGGCAAAGTAATATCTCTGCATATACACATATGACAAGCCTCAGCGATCATTTCCTCTGTGGGTATGTAGTAGAGGAGGTTTCTAATTTTACTCTCCACCATGCCCTGAAGTTTGGGAGATTATTACCTTGAGGATGAATGCATAGATTGCATGGATTAAAAAAAGAGAAAACTTCATTATGGACTATTTCAAGCAAGAAGTAAAGCAGAGAAAAATAATATAATGTGCTCAGTTAAGACATCACCTCATAGAAAAACTTGTTTTGTGTATACCTCAATCCAGTCCATTATCTTTTTTCCCAGCTTTACTGAGATACAACTGGCAAATAAAAATGATGTATATTGAAGGTATATAATGACTGTTTGATATATACATTTACATTGTAAAATATTTGCTACAGTGAAGTTACTCAACACATCCATCACCTCACATATTACCTGATGTGTGTGATAAAAATGCTTAAGATCTCTCTTAGCAAATGTCATGTATACAGTACAGTACTATTAACTGTAGTCACTACCCAGCCCACTATTTTAAAGCACATTGGCTGTCACATAATTTAATCTCTAAATAACTGGCTAGGTTTATAAAAAATAAAGACTTTAAAAAAAATAAGTAACCACAATACAATTAATACATCTAGAAAAATGAATATTTCTATATCAAGTAGAATGGATGGTTGTTAAAACAACATAAAGAAAGCAAGCCCTCCTCTGATATCTGAAAACGTGCATGTCTTTATGGGAAAATTAAACCTTGTTAGACTTCAGTTCAGGGTGACGGCTGGTTGAGTAGCCCCCCGGGGGGCGCTTAATTTCCGATTCAGGTAAGTAAACAGCCGTCTTCTTTTAACTTTCCCCCCTCCTCTAGAAGGTTTAAAATACAACCCCTTCTACCCCGGGTGGGACTCGAACCCACAATCCCTGGCTTAGGAGGCCAATGCCTTATCCATTAGGCCACCGGGGCTGACGAAAGACTTTCTTTGACAGTCTTAGACCAGTCTCTCTGATACCTCCCAGCGGTTCCATACAGCATCCCCGCTCCAGTTTGGCTTGATTTTGGTCCTCCTGACGACCGTATGCGACCGGTGCATCCTCTCAGATCCCGCCAGCCCCCGAGCATCGCGGGACCCCGGGGAGACGGCGCATGCGCGAAGGAAGCTGCTCAAAGACCTAGGGTAGCAGTTAGCTCCGCTGTCTTGACTGGGATACTATCCTCGCTTAGGGTGCAGAAAGTCTAGGCATCAAATCCCGGACGAGCTCTTTCTCTATTCTTTTAGGAGAATCTACGTCCCGTGAGAACTAGCATCAAGAAGGAGTTCGCTGAGGCAAAATGTGGGCTTGAAGGGGAGAGAGGGAACAGCCGGGAGCTTGGGAAAAGCGTCGGTCATGACCTTCATCCTCCTCCCCACGTTGCCTCTTAGGCCGGGAGTGTTTCCTAGTCCCGAGTCTAAGCGGTTTTTAGCAGAGCCCAGTGGCGTTAGGTCTTGGTCCTAAGGACCCTCCGTGATGGCTCTGTATATGCCCAGCTAGCTCAGTGTAGAGTGTGGAACTGTAATATCAGAGAGCCCGGCGTTTACTCTCCTATCAGAAGATGGGTATTCTTTCCCCTCTCGAAGATATTTGACATTGTGGTTACCAGAAGTGGGGTCGGGGGAGGCGCGAGCTGAATTAGATGAAGGTAGTCAAAAGGTACAAACTTCCAGCAAAAAGAAGTACCAGAGACGCAGTATACAACATACTAAAGACAATTAACACTGCTGTGTTAGAACAGCTCATCTTTAGAGTTAAGAGAGTAAATCCCGAATCCTCATCACAAGGATGATGAATGGTCACTAAACCATGATTGTGATAATGATTGTGATGTATGTAAATTGAATCATTATGTTGTACACCTTAAACTTACACAGGGCAGTATGTCAGTTACATCTCAGTAAAAGTGGGGAAAATAATTAAAATGTTTATCTTAGTGAAACTTCTCTTTTGTTTATGAGTCCTTAGCAAACCACTGAAACATCGCAAAACTGAAAAAGGAGACAGTGACATTCTCCATGACCTCAAGATTGCCTGCGCCCTCCATTGGGGTACAGGCTCAGCTGCCATTCCCCCAGCGTCTTCCCTGGGGGGAGAAGGTCCCATCGCCTTGGTCATTCCACTTAGCCAGAAATTGCTTGGCGAGAACTTGGTTCCACAGGGACAGTCATTTTTTCTGGGTAAAATGATGGCTCAATCTTGGGCATATTCTTTACATTTAAATTTTAAATATACATTCACACTAATCATTTAAGGGTATATTCACTGCAAGAAATCGAAATAATCTATTATAATTTTAAAAAATTTTGTAGTGTTTAAATATATGCATAACATTAAATTTGCCATTTTGACCATTTTTAGTGTACATTTTACTGGCATCAGTTACATTTACAGTATTGCACAACCATCATCATTACTATCTATTTCCAAAACTTTTTCATCACAATACTCTTGTGTTTTTCTTTCTTTTATATTTTTTAATGCCCCTGACCCGTTGAGGGTGGGCCACCCCACAGAAGTTAAACCCCTCATCTGTCGCAGTTCTAGTCATCTGAACTATATTCATACAGCCAGTCGCCCCTGGGCTCCTGGGACTCCTGGCCGGGGTTCCAGGGTCAGCAGTCCGCCCGGGTTTGATCAGCGTAGGTCTCCCCACAGTGCCCAAGGGTTCACTCTGGGTCCCGAGCCCCTTAGCATCAGGGATGCATCTGAGGGGCAGGAGGGAGTGTGGCTGACAGCCAGAGGGTCCTAGGCTTGCGTAAGGAGCAGTTGGGAGACACGGAAAATTAAAATCTAAGGAGGAAAACTGAACCCTGCAACGACCACGAAGGGACTCGAACCCTCAATCTTCTGATCCGGAATCAGACGCCTTATCCATTAGGCCACGCGGCCTTGCGCAGGACGGTCTCTCAGCTTTTCTCATAAACCTTTTGCAAGCGCCTGCGCACTGCCGCCCCAAATGTGCATGCGCACACTGGTCTGGCCCCCCGCCCCCGGGACTCCTGGTGAGCCCGGCTCAGAGCCCGCAGCTGAGCAACGCGACTGAGCGCCGCTGAGGTGGCCGCGCAACTAAGCCCCTCCTGTCCCGAGAACTCCTGATCTCTTCTCCCACGAGCCCCAGGCCCACGCTGGGGCGGGGCTGCCCGCTGCTCCCGCAGCCCCTTTGCTTCCCCTATCGCAGCACCACTAAACCTGCCATCCGACCCGGTCCGCGGCCCCAGCGTGCGGTGCGGGTGGGGTGGGGGTGCTGGGAGTGTGCTGTGGACCCTGGGCTGCCCCTTCCCAGGTCATCCAGCGCCGCCTAGCCCACGTGGGGGTTTCTTAGTCCCGGAGGTGCCCCTTCTTCCCTCGGTGGGCCCGGCCGCTGAAGTGCCCGGCGCTCCATACATCATCTCGCTTATTGTCCTGGTTCCCTGCGTGCGGGCGCTATTCACGTGTCCAGCGATCTCCACGTTTATTCCATGCCAGCCGAGCTTCCTGTGCTATCGCGCCGTTTTTAGGAGAGGAAATCGAGGGGTGGACGGGGTTACTGGTGGTGCTGGTGTGCGGCCCCCCACTGTCAGCACCCCTGGGTGGCCGCGGGGGCGGTTAGACCTGCAGGCAGAGCCGGCGCCTCAGAGAGCTGCGGATCTCCAGACAGGCCTTGCGGCGCTCATCACAGTCGGGACCCAGCACGTCCAGCTCACACACCTGCCGATTGACCTGTGTGGACCACACTCAGCCTATGCCTGGGACAGCTAGGTTCCCCACGCCCGCGCCCAGCCTGGCACCCAGTGTATTGTGAGGCCTGAAGTTTCAAGTGCTGCCTTGACATTTTTGGGACCCACAGGCCCCGGTGGTTTCCCCTGCTCTTGTCAGATGTGCCCCCCACCCATCAGGGAAGGCCCGCCTCGCGGCTAGTTCCCCCACCAACCAGACCAGATACACTCCACCCCTGCTATCATCCTGAAGGGCTTCAGTTCCCTGCCAACCTGTGAAATTATTGCAACAAGTATCCCACGTCCTGTGTCTACAAGGCCTGAGTCTACAGCCCCTGTTGCTTCTCTCTGCTCCCCAAGGCAACCCCGAGTGGCCTGCATGGCCCGAGGTGTCCTTGTGCCCAGCTGTGAGCATATGTGGCTAATAACTGCTGGCCGTGTCTCCGTCTGGTGTCAGGTGCTCTGTGTTCAACATCTCATGTTTCTGAGGGCAAAGGAATTCCTCCCTCAGCAAAAGGATGATAGGAGGTGATCAGAACACTGGAGTTGAGAAGAAGGTTGAATCCAGCCCCTCTCCCCAGGCTACCCTCCCTACCCTGCAACTCACCTCAGTCATCAGCTCCAGGAGGTCTGCCTTGGGGTCGGCTCTGAGGACCTCCACCAGCGTCTGGATAAAGTCTGAGCCCTTCTCATCCCGATAGGCTACACAGCCTAAGTCAGGGGACCAGGGCCAGAAGGTCACAATTGGTCCCCTCCCAGTTGCCTTCCAGTCCCCAGGGGCCTATTGTCAGTGGAAGTGGGGGCAAGTACACAGGACCCCAGGGCTTGGGGTAGGGAGCAGCACCTTCTTGCTTCTGGATCAAGTTGTTGCTCAATGTTTGCGGAGTGGATATACCATGGATTCAATGTGGAACAAACATTCACTGTGAACCCACTACGTGCCAGGCCCTGAGGCAGACAGAACTGTCCTGCCCACATGGACCTTACAGCCTAGAGGAGAGGAGTCAAGTCGAGTGCCTAGCAGAGCCAGCCCTCGGTTTGTGCACTCATGTTACTATTGTCACAAATAATAAATACGGAAGGAAGATGGCTTAACTGCAATGGGGCTGCACCCCAACAGCCAAGCCCCAGATGTCCCTAACGCCACTTCAGATCTCTGGCCAGGAGGTTGGGCTCTGTGTAACTGGGTTTCGTGATGACCTTACCTTCAGTGGCTGCATAGACCATCAGCACATCTGCTTGGTTAGGGCTCTCTGGAGTGGGGCCCCTGGAGGAGTTGCCTGCAAGAGGGAGCAACGCCTTTTACCCAGCATCCTGGGACTCCATCTGCCCCGAGGGCCCCCTCAAGTCTGGCCCAAGGGCACACAAGGCAGTAGAAAGAGTGCAGGGCAGGAAAGACAGATCCGGTTTCAAATCTCAGCCCTGCCACTTACCAGCTGTGTGACCTGAGAAGAGCTATTTTCCCTTCCTGTCTCCAGGGCTGTTTCGGGCTCAAATAGGGGAAAAAACTCTCAATTTTCAAAGGTCCTTACCCTTTAGGAAGGTTTCCCTTCCTGTCCTCTTGGCAAAGAGAGGAGGGAGGTGGCAGCAGGATCCCAGCTCAGAGCCCCGGAAATGCCCTCCTGGCAGCTTCCCCACCAGCCCTACCCAAGCCCTCAGGTAGGCAGACCCACCTTGCACATCAGTACAGACATGGAGGACATCGGCCTGGGAGGGGGTGGCCGGAGGTGCCCGCAGCCAGCGTCTGAACCAGGGGAGAGCTGCAGGTCCCACTCCCGCATCCCTGTGCCCTGGGGACGGAGGGGACAGTCAGGTCCTTTCACTCTGAAGACACCCCGGGGTGCTTCCAGGGCCCTAGCCCCCAACCCCCAGAGCTTCTGGGCCGGCCTGCTGGGCCGGAAACACTCAGAGCACTGACTGACACGTGTTGAGGGTGAAGGCTCAGGTTCACAGACATGACCTCTAAGAGAGGCTGGGAGGTGGGCAGGAGAAGGGCAGTGCTCAGGCTTTCTGGAGGAGGTAAACAGCAAGTCCTGGGAGGCTGAGCGCGGGATGAGGAGGGGTAGGACAGCAGGAGGTGGGCCTCTAGGGTGGGCCGGGGGCCTGCTCACCCCCACGGCAAGCCTGAAGCAGGAAGATCTTGGGGCGGCCCTGCAGTGCCCCACAGCAGCTCAGCTCCTGCACAAGCGCCTCCAGCTGCCCCTCTTGCCCGTCAGCCCCCAGAAGCTGCCCCTGAGGGCCCCCGTGGGCCATGAGGGCCACAAGGGCACAGCTCACGGGGCCCCTGTGGGCGTCCAGCCACTTCCGGAACTGGGCCATCTCCTCCTGGAAAGCCTGGGGAGGGGATGAGATTAGGCCTGAGCCAGTGTCACGGCCTCCCTAGTACCTGGCTCCCCACCTCTGGGTGGTTTCTGTAGTTCTCGGCCCACACTACCTCCCACCTCCTGCCAGCCTCAGGCTGGGGGGGGGAGCAAGACCTTTTTCTAACCAACCCCCCTGTTGCAAAGCCTATCATGGACTCATTGGAGGAAATGTGGGTCCAGCTTCCTGCAGCTGGTTCTCGGATCGCCACGGAGAAGTTGCACCAAAAAGTTAAGAGCCGTGAGGGGAGAGCAGTGAGCTGCCAGCTGCCTGGGAAGGAACCAGGGACCCTCCCAGGAAAAGCCTGAGGGTCCAGCTAGAGCCTTGAGCAGGGGCCAGCGTGGGAGGTGGCGGGGGCCTGAGAGACTGGACTTCCAGGGGCTAGGGAAGGGGGTTCGCACAGATGCGTGCATACAACAGGGAGGATGGGGGTGCATTTCCTGCCCACAGTTGGTATGAGGCTCAGGAGAGAGTCCCCAGGGCCCCGTGGGGGCACCCTTCCTCCAGTGGGTCTGGGCTCCCCTCACCTGGGCTGCAGGGTCTGTCCGCAGGGCAGTCTTGAAGCCCAGGGCCTGACACAGGCCCCCCAGCGCCTCCACATCATGCTGGGCCCCCGGCCGGCCCTGGGTCACAGCCAGCAGGAGGGCGGCCCTGGCCCCGGACAGGTCATACTGAGCGCTGGGGCTGGGCTCTGGCTGCAGACAGGACTAAGTGGGTTCAACGCAGTCGGAGGACCTCCCGGCTCCTTGTCCCCGCCTGGATCTCCCCACACCTCCATCCCACTCAAAACTGCTGCCATGTGGTTGGACCCCCGCCCTGCCCCCTCACCTCAGGCCCCCAGGGCTCCACGTTCCCTAGGTACAGTGCCCCCCGCAAGGAGCTCCGAAGCATCGGGCAGTAGGCAGCCCCTGCCGACTCTTGAGCTGTCCTGGAGAAGACCTAGGGGCAGAGGACTCCTCAGGCGGCCGCTCTGTGGGGGTGGGTTATGGGGAGGGCCTGGCTCCAGGGCACAGCTTGGCCAGGCTCTTTGGGATCCCCTGCCAGAATGGAGGGAGGAGGNCATGATGGGGGGTAATGGTTCAGGTGGGGATGAGACCGGGCCTGGGCCAGGGTCACGGCCTCCCCAGTTCCTGGCGGCCCTCCCTCTGGGAGGTTTCTCTGGCCGCCTAGAGAACACATCGGTGCCGTCGTCCCCCCTCCCGGGACGCCCCCCTGGGCCTTCACCTCTGTTAGCAGCTGCAGCAGTGACCAGTGAGGATGGCGGCCGCAGAGCTCGCCCAGGCTGGCGAGGAAGGCCCCAGGCTCGGGGACAGCTGGGTGGAGAAGCAGCAGCACACAGGCCTGGAGGGAAGGTCTCGGCCCTCTTGCCCACCCCTACCCCCACTCTGTCTGGCCCCCATCGGGGGCCCCGGCCGGCCCGCTCACCCCCGGGAGCACTGGAGAGCAGCAGGAAGACCTTGGGGCGGCCCCACAGGGCCTTGCAGCGGCTCAGCTCCCGGACCAGCTGCTGTGACTGCCTCAGCTGCCGGCGGGGGGCCACCAAGGCCACGAAAGCACAGCCCACCGGGCCCCCGTGGGCATCCAGCTGCTCCTGGAACCTCGTCAGCTCCCCACGGAAGCCCTGGGGCAGAAGTGAGTGCCAGCCTGAGTGCAGGGAGGACCCAGGCGGGGCTGAGGGCGGAGGTCGGTGTGGGGGGCAGGGGCGGGCTCACCTGGACGGAGGACTCCTGCCTCTGGCAGCTCTCAAAGCCCAGGGTCTGGAATACGCCCTCCAGGAGAGCGACCGTAGAGGCTGACACCTCAGGGCTGCAAAGGGCCAGGGCCACCCTTGGGCCCTGCATGCTGTACTTACCCTGGGAAGGCAAGGCCAGAATTGGGCCGGGGTGGGGTTCAACTGGGAGCCAGCGATGGCCTAGGCCAGCCAGCGCCTACCTTTCTTCCCAGGCTCTCCCGAGCATCAGCCACCTGCGAGGCCACCTGCAGCATCCCAGCCACCAAGAAAGCCATGGGGGTGATGTGGGGGCTTCCTTCAAACAGCTCCAGTGCCAATGCTCTGGGTCCCAAGGCCCGGCCTCTCTCCGAGTCTTACCCCATCAGCTCTGTTTATGAGCAGAGCTGGACTCTGACCCCTGCCCTGGAACCCTGGGTCCTGGACACCCCCAGGCCCTGCTGTTCCCTGGTTCCCATGGGCTACTTCCTGCCTGGCACTAACACACCCCCACCTGCGCCAGGAGCCTGTGCCCAGTCTATTCTTAGCTTCTGGCCCACCTGCTATCTGATCTCGTTACACTTGGGTGTCTCCCTTCTGAGCCGCCTCCAGCACAGAAAAAATTCATTCCCTGCCCCCACCATCCCCCACCCCTACTCACTCATTCAGGGCACGTATGGGAGCCTGCCCACACGGCACTGCCAGCCTGGGGGCATGGGAAGCAGCGAAGGGCACCGACCCAGAGAGGAACCCCTGGCTGAACCCTGCTCTCTAGGGAGAGCCCCGTGGCCTCATCAGGGAAATGGGGTCCGTCCAGCGACCTCGGGATGAAGCCTGGGTTACATGGGGGCCAGAGAGGCAGGCTCACAGACTGGGGGACAACACATCTTGCCTCGGCTCACCCCCAGTCTCGCAGGTGGCCCCAAGGCCACAACCTGCTGAATTGCAAAGGCCTTGGCAGGGTAGAAGGTGATCTCAGCACACACCCACCAGCTCCACAGGGGCCCAGGCCCGGGCCAGGCAGGGGAGGGTCAGATGTGAAAGGATGCATGGGGCCCGCTCCATCTCAGCACACTCCCTCCCTAGGGGGTCTGAGCACAGGGTCCAGCTGAGAGCTCCGGGGCCCCCGTGGGCAGCACAAGCCCCTGCCCTGACTAGTCACAGGGTCCGAGCTGTCTGATTTCATCAAGGGACAGAGGGAGGGCCCTGGGGAAAACCCTAGCTCCCAGTTAGCCGCCCAGTCTCCTGTGGGGTAAGGAGGGGTGTGCCAGCTGTCCTCAGACGGGGCAGGCACTGGCTGACACGGGGACGCCCCTGAGGCTCACGGCAGCCCCTGGGGCCCAGGCCGCCCGGAAGCTGAGATGGTGGCCCCACCCGATGACTGTCCAGCACCACGGGCTACCAGGACCACCAGGTCAGGAGGCCCAGGCCCGCCCCCGCCCCCCAGCGGCCACCTAAAGAACAAGAGCAGCTTGGAGGAAGTTTTCAAGTTTATTCTCGCCTTTCTGCTGCCCTGCTAAGGCCAGCTGGGCCAGCTCCTTGGGAGGGCCTGTGGTCAGTCCCTGTGAATGCCCTTCTGCAGGGACTGCAGCGCCTCGTGGACAGAGCAGGGTGAAGTACCGTAAACCTCGAGACCCCAGGGGAGCAGGGGGCAGCGGGCCTCGGCCAGCCCTGTTCTGAGTCTGCACAGTGGGCCTCTGTCCCTAGAGCCCACAACGGCCCTCCCCAGCTGGTGGAAGGTGACTCTCGGGAACTCAGCCAGAGGCAGGTTGGCTCAGAGCAGAGGCGGGCAGCTTCTGGGCTGCTGGGACAGGCCAGAGCCTGGCAATGGAAAGGGGTGGAGCCCAGGATCCACATCACAGGTGTGGGCTGATCCCTCGCCTGACCCCAGCAGCACCCTGAGGCTTAGCCTCCCTCCCACCGGAAGGCACAGGATGGCAGGACCGAATGCCTGGCCCATGGACCCAGCCCAGAGGCTGGGAACAAAGAGCCACAGGGCCAAGCAGGGCTGAGGGGGGCTCTGCAATGGGGCTCCAGGCCCTGCCTGAGTCCTCAGACTTCCCTCTCCCCTGTTCTCAGCCCACCCGCCTACAATGTGCTGGGGCTCCAGAAAACCAGGGGCAAGAAAAACCTCAGAGCATTAGAGGTCTGGCAGCGAGGTCACAGGGGACTGCATGCCCTGGGCGTCAGCCAGGGTCCCAGGAGGGTNCCCCGGGGCGCCCCCGGCCGGGCTCCGCCCTCCCAGGCCTCGGCCTCCTCTGGCCTCCAGGATGTGGTCTCGTCGCCAGCAGCCTGGTCCGGGAGCGCCGTCACCACCTCCTCCAGCTGGGACCTCTCACTGTGGCTCCTGCGTCCCAAACCTGCAAGCGTGTAGTAGGCAGCCTCTTAAGTGCCACGCGGTTCCGGGGCCACAGCAGAGGGGAGCCGGAACGGAGCTCCAGGCTAGCGCCTGGGCGCTCAGGCTGACAGCCCTGCGCTCCAGCAGACCAGCCTCCGTGCAACGGGGACATGAGAAAATGACGGCAGAGAAGCCGTTTGGAGCACCCAAGGGGTTTGCCAGGCTTCCGCAGCAGAGGTATTTACTAACTACAGGCCTGACCGATCTACCTCACCTTCCACTTACAAACTACAGGCCTAAACAATCTATGCCTGGGATCCCACCCAGGCCCCTGCTGTGCCCAATGCTTACCCAGGGCAATGTTCCGAGAGTTCTCCCTTTTTATGTCCCAGAAGAGATCCCTCTGGGCAGGGTCCAGGGACCCCCATTCTTCCCGGGAGAAATAAAAGGGAATGTCTCCAAATGTCACAGGTCCCTAGAATGAGGTGAGGAAGCCCAGCTCAGAGTTGCCTTGCTCAGGACTCCCCAGGCAGGTATGGGTGGAGACAGGAAGGGCGCTGGGATGGGAACAGGATGGGTCCTGGCAGGAAAAGGAGGGATGGAGGAGGCCTTGGTGAGGAGAGACCCATTTCAGGGACTCATCAGCGTCAGAGGGACAAAGGGACGGGTAACTCACCCCAGAGGCAAAGCAGGTATCTGTCGTCTCACTGGTGTTCCCCTGTTTAAGAGCTGGAAGCTGGGCTGCGGGGAAGAAGGGAGCCTCAGAGAGCCCAGCCCAGGCCGGCATTAAGGGCTCTCACATGCTGTCCTTCTCACACACACACACACACAGACACCCACGCCACACACACACAGACACCCACGCCACACACAGATACACACATACACCACACACACACACACACACATCACACACACACTCCACACATACCACACACACACACCCATGCCACACACACAGACACCCATGTCACACACACAGACACACCCACGCCACACACCCACACCATGCACACACCACACACACCCCCACACACACGCCACACACACTCCACACAGACACCCACTCCACACACACACAGACACCCACGCCACACACACACACATGCTATGCACACACCACAGACACCACACAGACACACACACAGGACACATGCCACACACATACACCACACACACAGATACACAATACACCACACACATGCCTTGCACACACCGTACACAAATGCCTTGCACGCACACACATGCCTTGCACACACATGCCTCGCACATACACCACACATGCCTTGCACACAATACACCACACACACACACACACACACACACACACACACCCCTTGCCTTCCTGGAACAGAAACACCCTACCTGCTCCCTTAGGGCAACGCCTGGGAAGGACTCAGGCCCCTGACCAGCCATTCTGCCGCCTTCAAGCTTACTCACCACCACGGCTGTGCGGCTCCCAGGGTACAGGTGGCCGGCTTCGTGTCCCCGCCCTCTGGGGAGGCCCCTGGGCCTGGGACCCCTGGAATGCAGCCTCGGGTTCCGCCCGCTCTGAGGGCATATCCTGTGCAGGAACCACAACACGCTCATCAGCATCGAGACCAGACCGGGGAGACAGAGTTTAATCCCTGGGAAGGAGACACAGGACACATTCCTCAGGAGGCTGGGGTGGGCAAGGTGGTCAGCATGGGGCCCCCCGGGAAGACCAGAAGACAGACCAGGCAGTGCTATGTCCCCGACCAAGCACGAGGCAAGGACCAGCCTCCAAAGGCCAGAATCAGAGAGCCACTTAGCAAGGGGCCGTGGTGGGAGACCTTCCTGTCAAGGGCAGGACCCCACTCCCCAGAAACACATCAGCATCTCCCCAGATGCTTTCCAAGAACACAAATAAACGTTTGCAGATCCTGTGGAGCTAAAAGCTGCTTTCTTGGAACATGCCCCCTCTGGTCCTGCTGCTACCCTCCAAAGTCACCAAAAAGAAACCAGATTCACTTGGACGGTGTCTTTCAGAAAGGCCACACATTATGACAAGTTCCTGTGGACATTCCCTCGGCTCTCCGTGTCCTCCCCCACCCCCGCCTCTGACCCGTCAAGGACTCATCTCTAGGGAGACAGCCAGCTCTCCTCAGTTCATGTGCCATCCAGGTGCCCCCAGGATGTGGGAGGGGGCCCCTCACCTGTGACCAAGCTTTCACTGGCTGCTTCTGCAGGTCTTCCACCAAGGCGACAGCTTCCTCGCCACTGCCTGGGCACCGCTGGCACACCCAGTCCTGGACGCCCACGGGCAGCACGCTCAGGAACTGCTCCAGCACCAGCAGCTCCAGGATCTGCTCCTTGGTGCGCAGCTCGGGCCGCAGCCAGCGGCAGCAGAGCTCCCAGAGCTGGCTGAAGGCCTCGTGGGGCCCGCCCACATCCCCGTAGCAGAACTGCCGAAAGCGCCGGCGGCACACCTCTGGGTCCCCGCAGTCCTCTGGCCGGGCAGGGTCCTGCTCCCAGGAGGAATCTTCTACCTTCACGATCAGAAGCCCTTCTCTCTCCTCAGGGGCTTGGTCCTGAGGCTCTGGGGGGGCTGCCATCGCCCTGGCCTAGGGCTCAGGGCCAGTCAGCTTCAGCCTGGGTCTTCAGTCTCCCAGAGGGTTCCCCAGTGGGTCTGGCATCTGGACGGGCACTCCTGGGCAAAGAGCAAGAAAGTGGGGGTGGGGTGGAATATGAGCAAGCACCAGCCTGGAAGGACGTCCAGGGACTCTAGCTCCAATTCCACCTGACCCTGAAGCCTTTTCTATGCACTCCTCTGATCTTTAGCTCACGCTTCTCTCTCTCTCTCCTACCTACACAGGCCCATGGCCCCTTATCCTCAGTTCCAAAATCCCAAACTCCCAGGTTTTCACCATCTGGTCTACTGACGTGAGACGAGCATATTTATAATCTCCTTTTATCCCAGGTAATGTAAATGTTCATATGTTGTATGGCAGAAATATTAATGTATTTGTTCAGCTCATAAAAATTCATCAAGCTGAACTTTTTTTTTTTCGTTCTACCAGTTTATTGCTACCAACCCATCTCCCTCCACCCTCATGCACACATGCTCAGTCATGTAACCCCATGGACTGCAGCCCGCCAGGTTCCTCTTTCCATGGACCTTTCCAGGCAAGAATATTGGAGTGGGTTGCCATTTCCTTCTCTCAAGCTGAACTTCTGATGTATTTTCTGTATATTATTCTTCAATTAAAAAAAAATTCTTTTAACTGGGAATTCTGTGGTGGTTCGGTGGTTAAGACTTGATGCTTTCACTGCCAGGGATTTGAGTTCAATCACTGGTTGAGGAACTAAGATTCTGCAAACTTGGTGGTGCTTCCCAAAAAAAAAAATTTTTTTTTAACTAATATTTTGATTACTGAGTGTTGTCCCAGATTCTCCTGGTAGTGTTATTGTTATACAATATATGTGCTGTATTATCTTTCTCAATCTGAAAACTTAATTCCATAAGACAGACACCACCTGGAGCCATCCATTATCCATAGATACACATGAACATGACACATACTTACACCTTATTGCAACTCTACACGACAGTCCTGAAACGTGTGTATTTTGGGTTTTTACAATTGCTTTTTAAAAAGTAATTTTAATTATTTATTTTACTTTTGGCTGCGCCGGCTTTTCTCTAGTTGTGGAGATTGGTGCGGCTACTCTCTATAGTTGCCCTGAACAGGCTTCTCATTGAACTAGCTTCTCTTGTTGCCCAGCACAGGCTCTAGAGCACAGGGGCTACACAGGTTGTGGCACGTGGGCTCAGGAGTTGTGGGCACAGGCTTAATTGCTCCGGGGCCTGTGGGGTCTTCCTGGATCCAGGATCCAACCCCTGTCTCCTGCACTGGCAGGCGGACTCTTCGCCACTGAGCCACCAGGGAAGCCCTTTAATTGCTTTTTGTTTCAAGAAAAAAAGTGATTATGAACCATTGTAATAAAAGGGGGGATTTAAACAATACAGTAATACATCAAAGAGAAATTCTTCCCTTCCACATGCAGCTGCTCCCCCATTAACAGTCTGAGAGCTGACCTCCCAAATATTTCCCAGGGCAATTACTGGAAATGTATCCACAGAAATGGGGGGAGAGGGAGGGAGGGGAGTGCTTTGTGCGTGTTTTTACATAAATCAGTTCTTATTGCAATACGATTTAGTAATCTGCCTTTCTACCTAACAATGCTTCTTCATCAGCCACTCCAGGAGATCCTGCAGTACGGATATACTTGTTTCTCAATGAGTACCCACCCCAGCTGAGCGAGGCACTCAGATCGTTTCCAATTCTTTTCTATTACACGCGAAGCACGTCCTTTACTTTATTCTCCTACTGCTTACAACACCCCTGAAAGGTACGCTCTCCACGCTCATCCTCCAGTGACCGAGGAGGAGGCTCCGCTCGGAGAGAGCCAGGGACTCACCAGAGTCGCTGAGCAGGACTCGGCAGTCGGGAGCGCGGACCCGGCCGGAGCCCCGCCAGGGTCCCAGGAGCCTTGCCTGCCAGGAGATGAGAGGCGGAGGGGCGGGCGGCTGAAGCGACGCCCCAGGCTTTCCCCTCCGCACCTCCAAGCGGCCCCTCCACCGACCCCTTCGGCCTATGCCTCCTATGGGGGCCGGGCCGGGTCACCCAGAGACCCGTACTAAACCTAAGGAGCCCGGCGGGGCGCGTCGCCGGTCCCGCCCCTCTCTAGACACACACCGCCCACAGCCGCCCAGGCGATCCCAGTTTCCGCCGCCTGCTCCGGGCGCCGGAAGTTCGCGCGGGGCCCGCCGGGAAGCGACATAGAGCACGCGTCGAGGCACGCACGAAGCACTACACTCCCCAGGAGGCCGTTCTCCCACTCTACCCGCCTTCTTTCTGACGGGTGGCCAATAAATGGGCAGAATACCCAAGGATGGCCAATCAGAAGGCAGTGACCCATGCGCAGCCACACCCATTCCCCCAGGCTGAGGAGACTCGCACTGTCTTATTCCGTTTCGGTTTTTCAGTTTTTCTGTGCTCCTCTGGCCCGTGAAGGGCGTAAAGGGGGAGCCAAGATTGGCCTGGTGGGCAGATACATGGCTTATCCCAGCTACGAGTGGGACGCCAGCTCCGCCGGAAGGGATACTCCGACGCGGACTCTTCCTTCCGTCCTCGGCATTTCCCGCTCCAGATTGGTTCGAGGCCTGAGGGGACGGTGGTCCAGGAGCTGAAGCTCGGCGCTCGGAAACTCCTTTGTAGCTTTTAGGGTCCCGCCCAAGTCTTCATCCGCTCTTAGTGGAGCGTGGAGCTTGCTGGGGAAGCAGTTCAGTGAGGGGCGGGGGACCTCCGGCGGCGATTCTTTGTTCCTGAGAGTCGGCCAGGGTCTCAGCCGGACGCGGCGGTCGGTGACGCTCACCCCGAAGGAGCCCCGCCCTCTGCCACCGATAGATTTGACTGAAGGACAGCGGGGCTCTCCGCGCTGGGGAGAATCTGAAGCAGGGGGACCGCATCGGAAGAACTTTGTACATCTGTCCGTGCTCCCACCCTGTTACTCGACTTGGAGATCTGAGGCTCCAAAATATTTTTCTGAAGTGGAAAATCCTTTCTTGTCTGGTTGTTGTTTGATTATGCAAGAATTGCATCCTTAGTGTAGGCAAGAAAATAAACTTGTCAAGGTATCCATATCCGCAAAGCTAGCTTCCTTACTTAGCTCACGTGGCACTCCACCGAGGTGGTTTTTCCTAACTCTGTAAACAGCTCCTGCCCCCTACCTCCCCTCGCTGCTATGCCTCTGCCCTGCCTTATTTTTCTTCCTAACTTTTATCACTACCTGATGTATTTGTATAGTATTTGAATCCACTACTTGGCTATAATTTTCATGAGATCAGACTTTTCACTGCTTTACTTCCATCACCTAAAATATTGTGCCCGGCACAATATTTGTTGAATAACTGAAGATAACTGAAAGGATCTCTAGTAAAGTCATTCAGAAATAAGCACTATTAATATTTCAGTGTTCTACTTCTATGAATATTTCTAATATAAATCTGGAACCGTTCTATTTAAGTAATGTTTCGTTGGCTCAAAAGTCTATCGAAGGTATGTTTCCAAATAAGCGTTTATAAATAAAACGCATCTTGCAAGCTGCACAGTATTTCAAAGCATGAAATTTCCATATTCCAGTTAAAGTCTCTTACTCGTGGACACTTAGGTTGTGTCCATTTTTCTGTATTTGTAGATCTTTACTGCATACATCTTTCTGTATTTGAACAACTTACTGGACGGCATGAGCTCAGGCTGTTCTATTAAGACTGATGACGTGGATGTCAACGGGCTCCCTCGCCGCCCCCTACTGGCCCCAGTGGAAAACGGCGCAGGACTTTTTTTCCCGTTGTGGCCTTAGTGTTCTTTCAACGCCCTCTACTGACGAAGACTAACATCTGGTTGGCTGGCGAAGAAGAAACGTCTAAGAATCAGGCTCCGTTATCACAAAGCAGGACCAAAAAGGTTTACTGGGGGGTCTGAGAGACAATAAATTAATAGCCGGCACACATAGAAAATACTCTTTTTGGCATTGCTTGTAGTTGCTAAATTATTCGTATATAATTATATTGAAGCTGACCCATCTTATTGCATTTTCTTTTCTTTTCTTTTTTTTTGCATTTTCTTTCCCTTCTGGTAGTTTTAGTTTATTTTTCTAGTTAGAAAATATAAATATATAATGTAAAGAGTAAAATTTTTCTTTCCACAAAAGTTATATTCATTTCTAAAATTTTTACTCATTATTTTTCTTTGTCTTAGAGCATTGTCCAGAACTCCCAAAGTGATAAAAATCAGGACAGAGACTTCCCTCTGGTCCAATGGCTAAGACTCTGGACTTCCAATGCAGCGAGCCCATGTTCAATCCCTGGTCAGGGAACTAGATCCCACATGCCACAACTAAGATCCTGGTGCAGCTAAAAATAATAAATGAATGAATAAAAAGAAATAAGTATTGAAAAAAATTCAGCGCAACAGGCATCATTGGCTTGAGTAATGAAAATACTTTTTGTTTGTCTCTCATATATATTTCCATGCTTGTATTATGGAGCATCTATTCTCATTTGAAGAAGAAAGTGGTTCCTCAGTATCAGTTTTCCCTTTCAATAATAAGTTTTCAGTGGGCATATGGCCCTTAAGAATAAAGAATATATATTTCCCAGTCTCCTGCATTGAAGTATGACCATGTAGTTATATTGAAGACAATGATACATGAGCAGATGTGCTGTATGTATCTTACTAGAAAGGGGTTCTGTCTTCCTACTTTTTTTCCCAACTGCTAGCAGGAATTTGGACATGGGGGCATGGACCATGCAGATGACACTAATGCTAGAGGTGTCAAAGCAAGAAGATGGAAGTACCTGGATTCCTGATTATTGTGGGTGGATTTATGCCTAGATGATGGTATAAGAGAGAAATAGATACTGAGGTTAAGCCACTCTTATTTTGGATCTCTATTTTAACCAGAATGTAAACCCTAACTAGCATTACTGCCTGCTAAGAGTTTATTCTTGCCTGGGAGATTGCATGCACAGAGGAGCCTGGCAGGCTACAGTCCATGGGGTCGCAAAGAGTCGGACACGACTAAGTACATGCATGCACACATAGTGTGCACTTTATGCAGGGGTAGCTAATTTCCCTATCTCAAGCAAATAATGTTCAAATCCTTTGACCTGAGTCTGTCTTCTCACCCAGCATACTGGAAAATTGACAATGGTCCTAGTGCCTTTCCTGTCAAATCTAAACCCAAGCTAAAATCAGATTTTCTTTCAGTCTTTAAAAAAAAATGGTAAAAATACATATTTTTTACTTTTATGATTTCTCTATGGGATACTGGATATTCAGAATTTCCATGTGATCTTGACTAAATCTTGTTATTATGATTTTTCTAGGAAATCATCCCTTTCATCAACAATTTCAGATTTATTAACATGAAGTTGTACATAATATTCCCATTTGGTTAAAATTTTTAAAATTGGCACATATGGTTAAGTCCCACTGCTTGTTT